TCATCTTTTCACGGTGTATAATTTACCTTTTCATCATTACTGTTTCATTAGAAACACCGACGCAGCTCACACTAGTTTTTAGCTAGTTATATCTTAGTATTGACTTATATATTTCAAAATTTTAAGTTCAAATAATCTTTTTCGGAAAGTTGATAGTTTTGCATATATTCTTCAAGTTTTACATTTTAAGTAATTTTCGAAAAGCATCTATAAGTTAAGATGACAATAAGAGGATGAGTTATAAATGTTTCATATATTCGCTTCATGCTGGATGAATATAGCAAAATGATGTTTTGAGTAATTTCAATCGTCTAAGTTTAACTTCAAATTACAGCCCATTTTGAAGGTAAGAAATAAGACAAGTAGTTGATTAAATTATCGCACACATTATTATTAGTGCCACCTAAAGCAATACTATAACTTATAAATGCTTTTCCTAACTAACTCAAAAGTAGGTGAAACCCTAAAAAGATACCTTGGAAGAGCATAAACCTTCCGAATAAGATTATTTGAGTTTTGAAATTTGAAGTATATAAGTCATTACTGTTGGGCTTATAATTGTGAATGCTTGGGATACCTGTGGTATGAGACAAAAAATGCGGTTAAGTTAAAATTTAACTTTTGTTGAAACAAACCAATTTAATTAAAAGAATATCAGTTATTCATCGTAAATCCGTCGTAATAGTTGCAGTTTTTACATTATTTCACTCCCAAAAGCTTGTTCATGTACTGCTAACTTATCTAAAACTTCACCACAGGGTGCCCAAACACCTCGGCCAGTCAAAAAACCCTCAATAAAAAAATGAAAGAAAGCTTTTATTCAGATCGTTTTAAATTTTTCTAAAAGAACCAAAGGAGCTTTAAATTTTTGCCTAAAAATATTTCGAGTTTTTGCTTTATTTCATGGAAAACAAGCCGCTTGAAGTTGGAATCTCTAAAATAAGCGTTTTTTCGGTGGGTCCAAATTTTCGTAAATCAAAATATTAAGCTTTTCCAAACAAAATACACTTCTCTGCAAAGCGTAGGACCAGGTCAACATGTTTCTGAAAGTATTTTTTGGATTAGAACTATATTGAAGATTTTATAGAGGTCGTAAGTTTTGATGAAAATAGGATTTGGTCAGCGGTATAGCCGTTTTAGCATTTTCCTTATTTCGGGTACTTTTTAAGTTCCTTTTTCAATAAAACTGAGATATGTAGTAGATCCATAGATCTGTCATATGGGGGCGTAAGTATTGTTTTAAACTAGTATTGTTATGGAAAAGAAAACAAGTTTAAATATTGACGCAATTTGGGATTCCTGTGTATTGCTGTGAGTTGTGCGAATAACACAGAAGGCCGGAAATTAGAGCTTAACGTCCCCAAAAATTGAAAACATCTCGATTCAACCAGTTTATTCATGCAATTTTACACGAAGCATGTAATTGTAAGCGGCGGCTTACAACTTTTGTGCAATTATATTGTTATTATTATTATTCAAGACATTATTACTTTTATTATTATTTTTTTCGTAAGACAGATTTTGAAAAAGTACTTATAATGAAAATTATCGTTTCGGAGTCATCTTGACTCCATTATTAAGGTTTAATAACCAAAGTTTCGTCTCACTAGATCAAAAGTCGTCTCAATTAGATCAAAAGTCTTTGTTTGACTTTGTTGATTTGTGAATTCGTGACAATACCCATTGTTTGTTAAACGTTCACAGGAAAAGAAACCGCATTCCCAAATTGGGAATTTGTTGGGAATTTCCTTGAATTCCCAAGGAATTCCCATCCAATTCCCAGAGAAAACGAATTTGGGAACGTGGCACTGATTCCCAATGTTAGTTTGTTGGGAATTTTGTTTATCTATTGGGTATTAGAAGGAAATTCCCAACAATAAATCCCAACGTTAGTGTTCAAATTGGGAATTCAAGGAAACTCCCAACAATTCCCAATTTGGGAATCCGGTTTTTTCCCCTGTGATTTAAATAGTGAGACGAAACTTTGGTCATTTAACCTTGATAATGGAGTCAAGATGACTCCGAAACGTCGGATTTTAGCTTTAATTTTCATTACAAGTGTCATTTTTTTTTTCATTTTCAGTGTCACTATTATAATCACCATTATTGACTACTCGCCCATCGTTCACAACTACAAGTTTTCAACCACTAGCTCATTATTGTGATTGATATTCTGCGATGGGCAGCGACTCCGCTTACGAATAGGCTCACTCCGCGCGAGGTATGCTGTTGTTATCGTCAAGGCAACCGCATGTCCAATCTCCTTCATCCTCCAGAACAACATTATCGGATTCAAAAAGGAGTTGGCGTAAATAAGGACGACAGACAAGCTCTCTGCACCCCACATAGCCGCCGACTCCCCTAGTATCCCAGCAGACACTGCGGTACAGAGGAAAGGTAGATAACAGAGGTTCAAGATGAGGAAGACGTACACCATGGTGCAAGTAGATCTCTTGTACCTTTCTACGTTGATTACTCTCTGGCGAGATGAATTTCTAAACAAAGTATCTATTCTTATCTTTTGCTTTCTTAACGTTATTACACACTTGATATACATTATGGATACCATTGCTACGCCAAAGATGGAAACGACTGCTGATATATTGAAATATAGGTATCTTGGAAATATGAATTGATTGGCGTGGAGGACAAATGACGAGGCCCATATTGCTATGATTACCCATGTCACCCTCGTATTAGTGACTATTGTTTTATATTTGGTCCCTGAATGGACCACTAAGTACCTGTCAACTGCTATGGCAGAAACGTTAAAGAAAGTAATAGTTGCAAGGGCGCCGCCTGCTACGTAAGTTATCATCCCAGAACGACAATACATCCCAAACGAGTGTTGTAGCTCTGCTATCTTCTTGGTCAAATACGCTGGTTCTATCACCATGCCAACCAGAACATCTGATATGGCCAGACTGTAGAGAAGTTTAGTGCATGGCTTGTTGAGCTGTGGAGACCGGTACAAGGAGATGATCAAGAGAATGTTCAAGACTATTGTTGGTAGAATAAGTATGGCGTCGAGAGATCCTGCCATGATATAGATGTGTTTGACTTGGTCAATGTCTTCAGTGATGAAAGTCAGAAAGTAACACCGCTGGACCAATGAATCGTTCCTATTCATTTCGAAATACCTCGGTCAAGTAAATCCTAAAATATAAAAAAATATAAAATAGAAAGAGGAAAAAATTACGATAAATGTGAGCTTGGTTCAGCGGATAGCTTCTTCTGAGCATGTGCTTTATCACCATAAGTTGCTAAACAACAAGTGGATCCTAAAAATAGGTCTTTGGATATCATTATATTGATAAGAACGTAGAGCCTTTCTAGCTGAATGCAATAAACATCCACTTGAACATCTGGCAGACTGACCAATTACACAAAAGTTCTCGCTGTTCTAATATATTAATTATCTGATCTTTCAACAGTTTTCTAATATCTATCTATAATTCCTCTTTTTTTTTCAATTATGCAGATATATAAGATAAAAATATTCAACATCTAAAAATACTACTCAATTATTTTTTTTTGAAATTACTCAGAGAGCTAGGAGTTAACGAGTTAACTTAATGGAAGACTGTTCCATAGTTGAATTTGGCTCTCTTGTAAGACAGGCTTCGCTTCAAAGACTCAAAATGGAGTAGACAGACTTTTAAGTTTGAATCAGAACCGCGTAAGCCATAACTGTACACCTCGTTGGTTTTCTTTAATTTTTTTTTAAAAAGGAACGGTGCATTTCTTTCTATAATTTCATACATTAAAGTAGCTTTATGACTTGACATTCTAGTTTTCTGTCTGTCTGTCTGTCTGTCTAGTTTCGAGATTAAACCATTCAAGATTTGAACGGATTTCTGCAGATTTGATCTCATAGCCAGAATGAGTAATTACGCGAGCAGAAGATATCAAAAAAAAAAAAAGTCTAACAAATCAGGCAAACAAACAAGGACGAAACTGTTAACACTGTCGAGTTTGAACGACAAATTGGCAGCAGCAACAACAAACAACTATAGTAAAATGACAAACAGCAGAGAAAAAGCAATTTTGAAAAATTCATATCAACACCAACGCGATAAATCGAAAAAAATTGAGTCTTTGGTAGCGATTTTGTCTTCTCTCGTCTTACCTAGCCTTTTGACGTCCTCTGTTAAGAGCAAGATCTTTGCTTCCAGTTTTTAAAAGTTTTTTCTCCTGTTAGTTTGACCAAAACGAGATACCGAAATGATCGTGAATGGACTAAATCGATGAATTAATGAATCCTGCAATCGTTTGTATAACACAAATCATTAAGGTGCTATTATCTTAACGATCAACAGTTAAGCTAGACTCGCTTAATTTTTCTTGATCATATATCCATGCTGATTGTTTTATTTGGCTATTTTTAACATCTTTAAACAGTAGGGATTGCAGCCGTCTCAAGTACGTGACAGACGCTAAAGATGGCTGCGTGCGTAATAGGCAAGCGGTAGAGCTGAAAAGATAAAGATTGGACTTTTAACCATATATAAATATGTGAAAACATTCTTATTCTGCTTYCTCAATGCACTGTTACCCATCAGACGATCACCGCTGACATCAATGCTTGCATTTGCTCTCAGTCCTTATGCGCAAGACCGGAAATGACGTCAAGTAAATGGAGCGTATATTTTCAATCAAAGGTATCAGTTACGTATTAATTCGGTTCATTTCCAGAAGTTCTATATTTTGTGGGTGAAGGTCGCTTATTGGAGAACTTAACGTTACTTGGTTGTCATGGCGACGCCAAGAATGACTGACAGATCTCGTCACGTTAGCGCTCTTTCGGATTCCTGGCATTCGCCAAAACAAAATGACAGGATTGATGAGAGAATTAGCATACACGATGACACTAGACAAGCTCTCTGCACCCCAGATAGCTGCCGACTCCCCTAGTATCCCAGCAGACACCGCGGTACACAGGTAGGGTAGATAGCACAGGTTGAAGATGAGGAAGACGTACAACATGGTGTAGGTAGATCTTTTGTACTGATTCGAAAAGAGGGATATTTGTCGTGTTGAATCCCACTTGAATAACGTGTTGACTTTTTGTTTGTGTCGACGTAAAGTTACGAAACACCTTATGTAACACACCGATGCTATGAAAACACAAGTTCCCATGATAGCAGCAGTCAACTTGAAGTACAAATCTCTGGAGAAATAAAACTGAGCCGTGTAGAGAACCCCACAACAGACCCATATAGCTATGATCAGACATGTCACCCTCGTATTAGTGACTATTGTTTTATATTTGGTCCCTGAATGGACCCCAAAGTACCTATCAACTGCTATGGCAGTGAGAGTGAAGAAAGATACGCAAGAAAGAGCAGCTCCAATATATGTTATCATCCCAGAACGACAGTAGATCCCAAACGAGTGTTGTAGCTCTGCTATCTTCTTGGTCAAATACGCTGGTTCAATCACCATGCCAACCAGAACATCTGATATGGCCAGACTGTAGAGAAGTTTAGTGCATGGCTTGTTGAGCTGTGGAGACCGGTACAAGGAGATGATCAAGAGAATGTTCAAGACTATTGTTGGTAGAATAAGTATGGCGTCGAGAGATCCTGCCATGATATAGATGTGTTTGACTTGGTCAATGTCTTCAGTGATGAAAGTCAGAAAGTAACACCGCTGGACCAATGAATCGTTCCTATTCATTTCGAAATACCTCGGCCAAGCAAATCCTAAAAACAAATAAATGATTATCTAATATTTAAAACTTTTAAAATTTTTTTGAGGATTGAAATGTAAAGATTACATTTCTATGTCGTCATAAGCGTTGGAATCTAAACGAGAATCGTAAAAATTACATTAAACAGTCCAACATTTTAAAATATATTTGTGGCCGTATAATTAATGTTAGTTGGAACTTCAACTTAGAACAGGAATTATCTCGCAACTCATGGCATAACAAAACAGACTCCTAAAGTACTTCAACAGACAGGAACTCAATTACGACTTATTCGTATTTTCTGAATAAGTAGTTAAGGAATTATTAACGTCATTTGAACTTGAGCTTTGTCTATTTACCTACCTTTAACACGATTAGGCTGTTACCAACGGTGTTCAGTAAGATCTTAAGGTATCTGTGCGTCAGAAACCATCATTAGAAGACACTGTTCTGATGACGTTCTCCGAGATTGAGTGCATTTTTTTTTTTTTGGGAGTTTGAAGTGCTTGAGTGTTTTTCTTTAAATAGCCCTGCGGGGTTTTGCAACCCTTATTGAATAATAATTTTAGTAAAGATGTTGACAAAAGGAGACCAAGCGTAAAAAAGCGGATATAAATCTTACCAATTGCTATCTGTTTATGCTCCAGCGGACTCGTGTCATAGAGAGCAAGAGGTTCAGGAGTCGAAACTAATAGCTCAATACTTCAATACTTCAATTTCGAAGATAAACAAAGGATCTCAAACAAGGCTTGGGGCAAAAAAGGCATCGTTTTTTGCTATTTTTTAGTCTCTCAAGCGAGGAGAGAAGCAAAGAAGAGTTGAAGGCCGGACGATGAAGGAAAAAAAACACTTGAACTTAGAACGATAGCGTGAATAATGTTGAATAATAAGAAACTTTATGAGTGTTAAACCTTTTAGCAGAAACAAGAACTTCAGTAAGAAGAAGAAGAAGAAGAAGAAGAAGAAGAAGAAGAAGAAAAAGAAGTTCTAACGGACACTTTCGAGACTCTTAAAAGAAGATGAAGACGGAGAAGAAGTAGGAGAAGAAGAAGATGACGAAGGTGAGAAGAAGGAGAAGAAGAAAAAGGAAAAGGTTATTCAAGAATGATTATGAGATGAAGAAGGAGAAGAACTAAGATGATGATGAAGGAGATGAAGCAAGAGAAGAAGGACAAGGTTATTCAAGAATGAGAAGATTAAGAAGGAGAAAAAGAAGAAAAGGAAAAATTATGATGAAGAGGACGAAGCAAAAGATGATGTTGATGATTATGATGCATGACGATGAAGAAGACGAAACAAAAGATGACGATGATGATTATGATGAATGAAGATGAAGAAGACGAAGACGAAGAAAGAGATGATGATGATGATTATGATGCATGAAGAGGAAGAAGACGGAGCAAAAGATGATGATGATGATTATGAAGCATGAAGATGAAGAAGACGAAGCAAGAGATGATGTTAATGATTATGAAGCATGAAGATGAAGAAGACGAAGCAAGAGATGATGATGATTATGAAGCATGAAGATGAAGAAGACGAAACAAAAGATGATGATGATGATTATGAAGCATGAAGATGAAGAAGACGAAGCAAAAGATGATGATGATTATGATGCATGAAGATGAAGAAGACGAAGCAAAAGATGATGTTGATTATGAAGCATGAAGATGAAGAAGACGAAGCAAAAGATGATGTTGATTATGANGCATGAAGATGAAGAAGACGAAGCAAAAGATGATGTTGATTATGAAGCATGAAGATGAAGAAGACGAAGCAAAAGATGATGTTGATTATGATGCATGAAGATGAAGAAGACGAAGCAAAAGATGATGATGATGATTATGATGCATGAAGATGAAGAAGACGAAACAAAAGATGATGATGATGATTATGATGCATGAAGATGAAGAAGACGAAGCAAAAGATGATAATGATGATTATAATGCATGAAGATGAAGAAGACGAAGCAAAAGATGATGATGATTATGATGCATGAAGATGAAGAAGACGAAACAAAAGATGATGATGATGATTATGATGCATGAAGATGAAGAAGACGAAACAAAAAATGATGATGATGATTATGAAGCATGAAGATGAAGAAGACGAAACAAAAGATGATGTTGATTATGATGCATGACTTTATCTAATCCTAGAGAGGAGGTAATAGAAGCAGTTATGAGTCTGTGGAAGGAAATTTGCAGAAACAACCATTTTAAAAACTTCTAAGGCGACGAAACGTCCAACTCAAGGGATGAACAAGCTGCAAAAACTAAACGTGATTTTCCTCCCGAGAGGTTAGTCTACACGTATACGCGGTTTAATTTCGTCGTTTGTTGAACCCTGAGAAAGTAAGATTTCTTCCTATATTATGTATGAAGTATTTCAACTTTTATGAAGTTTTCTTTTTCTTCGTTTCTTTCCTCCTGTGTTATGAAGCATTTCGCTTCTTCTAGGAGGCATATGCTATTCTGGTACAGCTCAGCCATGAGATGTTTCCTTTATTTCGTATACATTATTCATATTTATCGTACTTTATTCCAACTCCCTTTTTCAGACAACAGTTTTTGATTCAAGACTTTTTGTTATGATTTTCCCCCGTGCATTTTCACTGAATTTGATGTCAGAGGCATGAGGCTGACGGTCGACCGGCCCGTTGTTACAAAAGTGATAAATTTGTGCGACTATTTAGAGGTTAGTCAAATTCGTGTATTAAAATAAGTGTGTGTGCAACTACCACATTAAACTTGCGAGTTTAAGAGCAGAATTTTTAAATAATTACAAGTTGTAAAGCTAATGAATAAAAGATTAAAATAAATATAAGTCTGAATTAAGTTAATTAGATGTTATTAAGATGCTTGATATGCAAGTGTTGTATCTGCACTTGTTGATTGGAAAAAGATTTGCCTGCGCAATGTCTGCCTTGTGAATAATGGATGATCGAAATAGTGGAGCTTACTGCCTTTCGTATTTCCTTCATTCGCCAGAATAATATTATAGGATTAATGAGCGAATTGGCAAGAATGATGACAGCAGACAAGCTCTCTGCACCCCAGATGGCTGCCGACTCCCCTAGTATCCCAGCAGACCCCGCGGTACACAGGTAGGGTAGATAACAGAGGTTGAAGATGAGGAAGATGTACAACATGGTGTAAATTGATTTTTTGTAGCGTTGAACATTCGTTATTCCTTGCTGAGTGGAATTCACTTTCAAAAACGTATTCACTTCTCTCTTTTGCTTTCTTAAGGTTAAAAAACACTTGATGTAGCAAAATGATGCTATGACAAAGCAGCCTACCATGAAAGCGGCTGTCAACTTGAAGTACAAGTCTCTAGAGGCATACAGCTGTGCCGAGAAAAGAGTCCCCGATAGGACCCACAATGTTATGATTACCCATGTCACCCTCGTATTAGTGACTATTGTTTTATATTTGGTCCCTGAATGGACCACGAGGTACCTGTCAACTGCTATGGCAGTGAGAGTAAAGAAAGATCCACACGTAAGAAAACCTCCTACATACGTTATCATCCCAGAACGACAGTAGATCCCAAACGAGTGTTGTAGCTCTGCTATCTTCTTGGTCAAATACGCTGGTTCAATCACCATGCCAACCAG